CTTTGCAAACACTTGTTTGTTATTAATTTGTACATTCAAAGACATTTTTAAAATCTCCATATGAAAAAGTGCAACAAATTTATAAACTTATTGCTGCTCAATTATTGGTAAATCTGAAGGAGCTTCAGGTATCAAGAAAAATACAAGCATTTCCAGATGAAAGATGTGTAATTGCTTTCAAATTATTCAAATTATAACCATTGAAGTTTTCTTGTAATATAAGAAAAAAGGTGGAATATATATTTAGTAGTATAGTTATAAAAAAATAAGAAGCCCAGCACTGGAATTTTTTGGATTCTATATTTTTAAATTAAAATTCAACTGAAGGAGACTGACAAATGCTTTTCAATGACAGCATCAGAAAACCTTCATATGAAAACATTCCTGAAAATAAGCATCCCTTAAAAATCAGTGAAATTATCAAATTAAAACTATATTTGTCTAATACTCTAATTAAGTTTAAGGCTGCTACATATAGTTTGAGCTGGGGAACAAAAAGTTAATCTATTGTTCTGCTGATAGGTACAAAATATATCCTCAATATAAATCAACATCTAACTTATATTTGTGAAGTAATTTGCAATTCAAAACATGATTGCAAAAATGCATGACTGCATTGGGCAAAATATACACAAAATGTGTGTGTTTTAAGTACTAAAATTGAAAACTGCAGAAAGTATCATTAGTAATATGCATAAAATGCATCTGAATTCATTCATATACAAAAGGAGCCATTACTGAAAAATGAACAATAAAAATTAGTGTTGTTCATTTCTCAGACTTGGCTTCTTTTGTATGAATGACAGCAGATTAGGCATCCCAATGTTTCTTGTTCTTTTTAAATGAAACTGCTGCTTTTATTTACATAAAAAAACCATTTTCAAGTAAATGTACTTATAGCTACATTTCTATTGACAAGTCTTTGAAGTCTTGCTTTAACTACTATGTTCAATAATTTACATGATTTTGAATCATAAAATCAGTTACCAGAATGTGTAAAAGTTACACATTTGGGGCCAAAGTTTATTTTTCTG